GCACTAAAATGTATTCCAACAGGCATTAATTGTACATATATTTGAAAATAGTGATGTTATATAACTGTGTTACTGCAAATATTCATTGAAAATACAAAAAATAAGCTCCAAAACACACTGAACTCCAGTTTTGAATGAAATTTAACACATTTTTTGGCGCAAATTGCTCGTTGTGTATAATTCCGTTAAATATTGAAAATGATGCTGTGTACCAGTGTTCCTCGTGACACTAACCAAATCTGCACCACTTCTACAAACGTTTTATTGCTACACTACAATTACCTGGATAGCCTTAATTATGATGGCCCTGTAAATAAGTACTTTTATGAAACAAAGTATTATACAGTGGTTACATTGTGTTGGCAACAAATTGAGGGAATATATATTTGCATTGAGTAACCTTGTGTATGAAATGCGGTATAAATTAACATTGACTTGCCTATAATTCATACATTCTTGACTGGATCCTGGGGAGATATGTATTTATTTATTTTACTTTTATAGTTTTACACTTAAAACCTACCCCAATATATCACCATAAGCAATGGGTTTTCTATTTATTTTTGTGGTATTTGGTCAAAACTCAATCTCCTGTCTCTTCTCCATGTCTCATGTGCTTCTGCTCCAAATGCTTTTTGTTTGTTTGTTTTTAATTTACTGTACATTCTTCATGGAGGCAGGTTATTGTTTTTTTTTACTATATTTATTCATGGAAGCAAAAGTGCTGAAGTGCTGAAGTGCAAAAAAACAAAAAAGATGTAACTTATGCTGTAATATCTGTCTTGGGACTGCAGGAGGCACTGTCACGCTATAGGCACCAAATAACAATTTAAATGGGGCATGCGCAGTAAAATTTTGTAATGTAAATACCTTGGTAAACTTGTCATTCTGAGTGCTATATGGATGCGTAATGTAAACAAACAACAGGAGGAGATGGATTATGCCTCAGATCCATATTGGACTGGTTATGCCTGTGTAAATGACTCAACATGATGACCGCGGTGAATGTTTAGTGGCTGATTTAGGTGGTGACGCGGTAAGTAAATCCAATAATCAAAATGTAGTTTAAAAAAGGTTGAACATAGGCATATTTCAATCGTTTAATCAATGTTGAATTCATGTTTAAAAAACGTTTGAATTTTGACATCTATTCAACTCCTAATCAATGTTATTTGCATGACATTGATTCCATGTCAGAAAAGCTCAAAAATCAACGTTGTGTTCGACATCTATCATATCGAGCGCTTTCAATCGCAGTTCAACGTCATTTTTCAACATCTATTCAATCATAGGCCATAACACTATTTAAATGTTGAAACGATGTCCTTTTGGTGAAGCGGTAAGTAGCTCCAATAATCAAAATATCGTTTAAAAAAGGTTGAATATAGGTATATTTCAATCGTTTAATCAATGTTGAATCCATGTTTAAAAAACTTTTGAATTTTGACATCTATTCAACTCCTAATCAATGTTATTTGCATGACATTGATTCCATGTCAGAAAAGCTCTTAAATCAACGTTGTGTTCGACATCTATCATATCGAGCGCTTTCAATCGCAGTTCAACGTCATTTTTCAACATCTATTCAATCACAGGCCATAACACTATTTAAATGTTGAAACGATGTCCTTTTGCTATCTGGGCACGGACCGTTGTATGCAGACTTTTCATCAGTGTTTAACCCCATGTTTGACCTGTGTGTCCTACCTTCTGCTCAATGACCCATGGAGGGTGTGGGACCACTTATATTGATATTGGGCCTCATTCACGAACGGTTCTTAGGAACAGATTTGTACGTAAATCCTACTTACGCGGTTTTTACGAAGAAAGTGGCATTCACGAATATTTCTCGTAACCAGAATTTCACTTGGGCAAGTACAAATCCTACGAGTCCTCAGGAGCACTCGTACGCATTCAGTGCCGACATGTTCACACGCGGGGGTTGTCCTCTTTGGTGAAGTTGAATAAAAATACAACATTCCAGTGATATGTCCGTCATATCGATGTATGTATTTATTTATTTGTAGTAATCTTTATTAGTAATCTTTATTTATATACCGCCTTTTTCACTGCAGATCTGGCCTATAATTCATTTTGAAATGAAATGTACCAACGCTTTATCACATACATTGGAAATCTTGCCGTGTATTAGTGACCCCTTCCTATTTATAGGGGGCATTTCTTTATCCACGGGCCACAGAACAACGGCATGCTGCTGCAGGAGGTTACTGGGTCCGCGCTGAGTCTCTGCGCTGGTCTCTCCTATGGATCTATACGGGTCTGCGCTGGTGTCTCCCATGGATCTATACGGGTCCGCGCTGGTCTCTCCTATGGATCTATACGGGTCTGCGCTGGTCTCTCCCATGGATCCATACGGGTCCGCGCTGGTCTCTCAAGTCTGGTCTATGCGGTCTCTCTTCGGTCCGCGCTGGTCTCTGCGCACCGGTCTCTCCAGTCAGGTCACTACAGTCTATGCGGTCTCTCCTGTCCGCCCTGGTTTCTGTCTGCTGGTCACTCCAGTCTCTCCTCGGGTCTGCATTGGTCTCAGCGCTGGTCCGCGCTGGATCTCCTCCCAGGGTCCAAAATATTTTGAGATTAATCTCAAAACATTTTGAGATTCATCTTTAAAATAATACATAATATATTTTTAAATTAAGCTCATAACATTTTGAGATTAATCTCATCATATTCTTAGATTAATCTCATAATTTTGCTAGTTCGACTTTATAATCATAATATTTCGACTTTTAAGTCAACATTTTATAACTTTATTCTCAGTCTGGCAAAAGCCTGCTTTAGGCCTGTTGCTGTTTCCTCTGGCGTCTGCACACGGCCCTGCAGTCCCTTATATGGGCATTAGTGGGCGGTTACTTATGCTAAGTACCTATGGTAATGAAGCACCGGGCACACGCGCTCTACTTACGAGGAAATGGGATTCATCAATCTGAGAGAACAGCTGCGAACAATTCAGCGGCTTACGAGTGCGTTGATGAATCCCACGTGGGGACTTCTTAGAAATCTACTTAAGGACAACTTGAGAAGAAAGTTGAGTAGTTTCTTACGAAGTTATTCGTGAATGAGGCCCATTGTTATTATCAATGAAAAACAGTTGTAAACAGCTCTGGTGGATACATGCACTTACTCACTTCATGCTCGGCTCCAAATATGTGATTATACAACAGAAAATTGTAGAACAAAATGTGGGGTGCCAAAGCAAAACATCATTTATAAACATAAACATATATATAAACAGTATATGTACAGCTCCACACACACATTGACAAAGCTACAAGCTTACTTTGTTTCAAAGATTGTCCTGGTGGACATGAGCTCTGTCTCATTCACATTCAGTTATTGCATTAGAGGTAGGAGGATTTAATACTTCCGGGTGGATTATCAAGACTATTGGTCCTCCCAATTGTCAATCTTCTTGTCAATGTTCTTTCTTAAAATTAAGGAAAATCCTCCTACTGTATTTACCTTTAAGCTGAAGAAAGAAAAAAAAACCTTTAAAACATGGCAAATTTGACACCTACTGACTGTAATATAACACAACAATGAATAAACCAGCTTTGTTTTTGTCCACACACATTCATGGATGTTGCCTTGTCTTGAGTTTACCAGTGCAGTGAAAGAACTTGGGGCTTTCAGCGGGAAGCAAAGGTGCAAGTAAAGTAAACGCCAGAACAGGGCACTATTTCCTAATTTATCAGGATAGAACTCCACTAACCAACTATGTGACACATGATACAGGTTGATATTCTGGCTCGGAGACGTCCAATACTGTAAACCATTGGATTATTGATTGGCTCACTTTCAGACGTCGTCTTCAAATCCACTGGATGTACAGTGCAATCTTCACGTTTAAACAACTTGAACATGGAAATGTATAGAGAAAACAAACTCACAAATATTATTTTTTTATCTCTCAAGTTTTAGTCACCTGTTTTAGCACTTTTTAAAAATGAAATGAAACAAAAATAAATGTTTGGGGCAATGTCTCTGGTTCTGGTAGTTTTATAAATGTGGGAGTCCTGGTATAAAGCTACTGCAGCTTCTCTTATGTAAATCGTTCCAAATTAAGTTTTGGATTTATATTTAATTATTACATGATCAGAGACTTGAGCTCATAGACGTGTCACAGTCTCTGCTCATACGACCTCTTCTCTGTGTTGTGTAATGTGTGTGTGACTAAAGAGCAGTGGTGTGTGAACAGAACCAAAACCAGAGAGATGCTTTGTGCGTACCAGGCCGGTTCAGGACGGCAGTGATGTGTGTGCATGTGTGTTGGGTGTGTGTTTGTGTGCATGCGCGTTTGTGTGTGTGTAAGAGCGTGTGCATGTGTGTATGTGTGTGTGTGTGTGTGTGTATGTATGTGCGTACATGCGTGTGTGTGTGTAAGGATGTCTGTGTGTGTCTGCATGCATATTTATGTGTGTGTGTGTGTGTGCATATGTTTGTGTGTGTATTGTGTGCAAGTGTGTGTGTGTGTGTGTAGTTCGGGGGAAGTTTCAGAAAGGTGGACTGTTCTGCAGGAAGACACAGCTGAGGAATGTCATGCAGGAAGTTGTCTAATATTAGAAATCCTCTTTGCTCCATTTTTATTGTGTTGTGTCTATGGTTGTGTGTGATTTTTCTGTTTTTGCTAAAATTGTATATTACAAAAATATAAATATACCTTGCTCAAGCAAATGTTACAACACTCTTTACTTACAAACATTTAATAACAATGTCATTCATGTATTTGGCAACAATAACTTTTCTCACGGTACAACACTTTTCATTTTCAGTCTATGAAATTAGGGAATTATTAGAAAATGTTAGTTATTCTGCTCTCAGGAGACAAACTAGGATCATTTTAGCCTCTTGTGTTTCCCCTTCCCAGCCCTTATGGTACCTCCCATCCTGCCTCGCCAGATGTTTCATGTTTGTCTCTGCTCCTGGACATTTTTGGGTTTTTTCCCCTGTGTGAACCAACTGGTGCCTTTGGCTGTACTTCAATGTCCGTGGACCAGGGTCAGTCGTCCCAACAATGCACAGGTAATGGAGTGTATTCTGTATATCTTAAACTTAAGCATGTGTTCACACTAAAGGAGCTCTACTGCTGTTCCCAGTGTAATAGTCTGAAAGGGGAGGAATGGAGATGGTTTAGTTCAAATTAGCTTTAAAATACCACGGTAGCCCAATGCTAACAATGCTGCAAGTTAATAATAATCTAAAATAATTTCACTTTCTTATTCTGAGTATTACCTTAATAAGCACCTATGTTATTATTTATATAATCATGCATTTAACATACAATCAAATGTCTGATATAATGTTAGGATTCAGGCAGACAGAGACGGATCGTGGTGTGCCAAACTCTGGAAGTTTATTTAAGTTGCTCTCAAGTTCCACTGGTTTCCTCTGTTTCTTTCTCCCAGACAGAATAAAGGCAGTACACAGTTTATATAGTCATTGTCACGTCACACATCGAAAGACATACGTGTCACAAAGAGACAGTCACATCATAGTCATAACATGGAGTCCTTGTAGAGTCCTTGTACAGTCCTGCACGTAGGCCATATTGCTATCTAATACTAATACCCTCCCCTTTGATCACATAATCACATGTGATCACTCAAATCGATCAATCAATAAAATGGAAAAAGAAAAAAAAAAAATTCAAAAAAAAACTTCAAAAAATTATTAAAAACAAAGAAAATGTATGCATTAAACTCATAATCATCAAATCAATATCAGTGGATTTTATCCTCTATCCTGGGAAAAAATAAACAAACAAAAACAAATCAAAAATAAAAACAAGCAAACACTATTGGACACCCAAGAACTCAGCAGATTCAGTCAAAACACAGACAAAAACGAGCTGAGTCTCAAATTAGAAGCTAATTTAACTTTTCTTACTCTATACTTTTATTCTAATACTAATTGTTTACACTTCACTTCACTTATTTCACTTTAATCTTAGACTGTGTACTTTACTTTCACTATTCACTATAGTTTAAAACTATTCTAATCTATTTACAAATATGTTTGCATATTTGCTTTGAGCCATATTCTTAAACATACATTTTAATCTAATAAATCTCTCTTTAGTTTTACACTCTCATTATCAGTGGCATATTATCAGTGGGATTTTGCTCCATGTCTATTCTCATTCTCAGGAATAAAACTGTGAACACAGTAAGGCAAATGGTCAACATTTACACTTCTATAGTGGTCAGTGATTTATTACTTTTTATTATCTAAAGATATTATTGTCAGGCAGTTTGGGATGAATGTACATCATTAATCAAATTAGTATTATCCTTACAAGAGCTAATCTATTTTAGCAGGTTTGGGGTTGGGGTCAGTTATTCTACAATGGTGTTTGTGCTGGAAACTTCTCAAAGATATCTAAATATCTACTATTGTGTTTTTGTGCTACACCCAAATGCATCAAAATGCTTTTAAATGCTTTTGAATCTCTGTTGGTTGTAATCTATCTCATTGATCTAGGCATTAATCTAGGCTACACTCATATGAGGTTTTTGCATTGTCAACATTCACTCATGTTTGAACACAAGTGAATTTGGCAGTATCTAATAAAACTGTACATAAAACTGTAAGTAACTTTATCTACTTTTGAAGTAAATGTTTGTGAAATGGTCCCTTTACCATTTGATATTAGCACTGGCTACAAATAATCTCTATTTTTGAAAGCATCTATGGTTGATGCATTTATCTATCTCTATTTTTACACTATTGTGACTCCAAAGTTTGGCTGCAGTTTGAGCAAAGGCATATTCCTAATTTGTGACTTCTGTCACTTTTTAATGGCTGTAACATAATTCTGATTCTAATATTCTAGCTGATCTATCAAAAGGATAACATTGTAGGGTACTATTTTAACTCTTACGTGGAAATATGTTTATGAACAACAAAGGAAGGACAATTCTACTCTTTTACTACTATTTAACATCTACTAAAACGCTACAATACTTATACTTTATCATTTTCAAAGTTTTTTGTCTGTCAGATGTCTGAATACTTAACATGTATATTGCATTTGGTCACAGTTGTGGTTGTAGCAATAGCATCGGCAATAGACGATTTTCATTGGCTGGTTCTTGTTCTGCAAATGGCTGTGTCCAATAGATCATCAGATGTCCAGAAGCTAGGGACAAACAAAAACAAAAGAAAGAATCATGAGTATCTCTCTCATTTAGCACTCATCAATGTATGATTTCAAAAATATAAACATCACTCCCCAGTTTTTTCTCTCTCAGGTCCTCAGGTCCTCAGGTCCTCAGGTCCTCAGGGTCCCCTGAGGGTGAGTCTCAGTCGTCATCAGGTCAGGTCATAGAGAGAGATGTCATCTTGGACATCAGTAGGGTCCAAGCCATGGTTCTGGTCACTCCAGATGGACATCGGATCTCCAGATACAGTCTTTTCACTTGAAGCACATCAGGTCATTTGCGATGCACTTCTGGTCAATGGTGCAGTGTCTCAGTTCCTGTACACAGCTTGTTATGCAATAGTTACTCTCTATGGTTAAATCACTTTGATTCTACTTTAAAGACAATTTCTATTCATGCTGTTGCTAATGTCCCTCAGACAAAAAGCAAGCGCAGTTATTCAGTTTACTTCTCTAATTTGTGTTTTTATCAGATCTAATTCTAATCAATGTAATTACTTCACACAGTACAAAATCAACAAATCAAAAGTGTCAGGACAGAGGTCAATTATGTCCATGACAATATAGAATTCAAATGAACATTTCTGGTCTCAAAAAATACTGATTCAACTAAAGATTCAAGTGATAGACAATTAAAAATGTTTGTTTACATTGGAGTAAACTTTTAAAATGCTTTTTCCTCATGTTCTGCTTTTTCATGTATCTATATGTAAATGTGAATGTGTGAGTGTATGTGTGTGTGTGTGTGTGTATGAATTTTGGGGTTGTCTCTCCAGACTCCACGAACCACCTGTAGGTCTCAAAGGTCACACTGTGGTGATGCAAACCAACTGGACACACACTCAACTCCCTCTAGGTCTCTACCTGACGCTCCACCCATCACGTCTCCAGATACCTCTCTTTCATGGCCCCGGTCTCTCTCACACCCACTCAGTTCTGCAGTGGCGTGGGGAGGGGCAAGGAGGTGGCATTTTCCTTTGCTCTTTGATCTGTGACCTGTGGCTGGGTGGGCTTTGCGCTGTCCAGTGTCCAGCAGTCCAGTGACCCTGTACAGTGTGTGCTCTTGGTTCTGGAAAACAACCTTATAGTCAAATTAAAAACAACAGAGATTGTGAATGAGATTGTTTTTCTCTCTGAAGTCTAAACAATTTTGAAGCGCTCTTGGCTTTCCCAAGCGCTATGTAAATAAAAGATTACTTATTCTCTTACTAATGATGACATTTTAAAACCAGAAACTAAAGAAGTTATCAAAACAACAATTATACTAAAAACAAACAACCTTTTAAACTTTAAAACATGTATTATATACTTTTGTACTGTGTGATTAATTATCTATGCATCCTTGGGTTTCTTGAAAGACGCCATGAAATGAAATTATGAAAAATCTCTATAAAAATGAACATTAATTTGTAAAAACATTTAAAACAAAACTTGAAATCAAACAAAAGATTTAGCTCCAGCTAAACTGGATTTGGTTCAATAAAACTCAATTGTGCGTCGGAGCTGCCTCCTCATGTCTCTGAGCAGCAGCAAGGTCACGCGTGTAGTCAAAACAAAAACAAAAGTCACCGCTTGAATGTGAATTGGGTGAATTGGGTAGTTTAACTTAATAATATAATACTTTTACAGCCTAATTCCCTCTTTCTTTTTTAGACGAAGTCTATAATCAATAATCAATTTTAACACAGATTCTAATTTAAATGTTTGAAAAACGGCTTTTGTAACTAAAATAAAAAATACATGAAAAAATTCTCACTAACAGCTATGAAATATCAGATACAATAATGGACTCACAAAATAAGCAGCAGATTTAAAAAGAAAAGCAAAGCTTTTTGTACTAATCTTTGGGTTTCAAAAACATACTAATTCAAAACTTCTATTCCCTAATGGTGTTTAAAAACGTTTAACTGTGTCTAACACAATGTTCAAATGGCAAATTTAGCAAATTTAACGGAATAACTACTATGAAAAGCCAAATTCCTAAAGCAGTAGCTTTGCTTCAGATTCACAGCCAGAGCAGCGAAGGAGGGGGCCGTTTCCCTGACAACGGCAGCAGATAGAGCGACGCACACACACAGGCAAAAAGATACAGAAGAATAACTTTCAAGATTACTTTGTTAAGCGAATATAACTGATGTTGTTCTTTATACTTTTGTCATCCAAATCTAGAAGTGATCACTTTCCACACTAGTAACAAAAGGCACTCTTGTCTTTAACGTTTACGCTTCTATTTTATCGAGGTAGCAAACTAGTTTAAACTCAAAATCTCTTTCTAAAAAAACAAAAACAACTGTTGGATACAGCCCTCTCATAGCTCAACTGTAGATAAAACTCGGCAAAAAAATGTAAATAACTCACGAAAGCTCTCATAGCTCAACTTTAGATAAAACTCTGCATTCTCCGGTGAACTCTGTTCACTCCAAAAACAAAAACTCCCTTTTTCTGTATGTAATTTAAACCGTGATCACTGAAATATTGTTGCTTATGTACTTTTGTCATTTATCAGCTTGAAATTCGTCAATTTCAAAGCTTTTGTAACAAAGGCCTCCTTAACACGTTTCCCTTTTTATAAATTGCTTTTCTGTTTACACCATGGTTTCTCTCAAAGGGACTTTAACCCTGAAGCTTCTTCTCAAAGGGACTTTAACCCCGAGGCTTTTCTCAAAGGGACTTTAACCCCGAGACTTTCTCAAAGGGACTTTAACCCCGAGGCTCAAAGGGACTTTAACCCCCGAGACTTTCTCAAAGGGACTTTAACCCCGAGGCTCAAAGGGACTTTAACCCCGAGACTTTCTCAAAGGGACTTTAACCCCGAGGCTCAAAGGGACTTTAACCCCGAGACTTCTTCAAAATACAATTTAGAGAGTTTGACAGACCCCAAAAAACAGACCAAAATTTAGCTAATATCCAATTATGTAGACTTTACATATTAAAAAAGGTGTCTGCTTACCTTATTCTTGTCAAACCGGTTCCAAGGACTGTCCGAGAGGTCTGCCAACTCTTTTCCGCGTCGGAATATTCAATTTAAAACACAAAACAGAGAAAGTGAGGGAGCAAGAGCAAGCCCATCCAAAAGCGAGCCCTTTCAGCGTCCGCTGGGATTTCTCCCCTTCCAGATAACGTGCTGTCGCTCCCACACGCCGAAAAAAAGAAACAGAGGAAATTCTCTCAAAACAATCCAGAGAATGGCACAAACCGAGCCGCGCATTCTCCACCAAATCTGTTAGGATTTAAGCAGACAAAGACGGATCGTGGTGTGCCAAACTCTGGAAGTTTATTTAAGTTGCTCTCAAGTTCCACTGGTTTACTCTGTTTCTTTTCCTCAGACAGAATAAAGGCAGTACACAGTTTATATAGTCATTGTCACGTCACACATCGAAAGACATACGTGTCACAAAGAGACAGTCACATCATAGTCATAACATGGAGTCCTTGTAGAGTCCTTGTACAGTCCTGCACGTAGGCCATATTGCTATCTAATACTAATAATAACTTGCCATTGCTGCCATTACTGTCCCGGCATCAATATTGACAGTGTAGACATGTCCATGTTGCCTCGCATCACTCTCCTCTCCGTGCCTTGTAAAAGCACATGATAGTTATAAAGTAGGCCTATACTATTAAACCATCGCCAGATAGATTTTGGTAAAACACACTGCAAGATCTCAATTGATGTTCCCAGGTTTACTGTACATGTGTTCGACTCAGTTATTGATTTGACTTTGCAGAAAACCTGATTCCATTCGGAGCAGAACTGCCTGAGACGGCATGGGCACACCGCTTGGCTCGTGGGGCTGCCCTGAAGTGGGCATCAGGGATGTTCTGTCAGCCCCGACATTTAGAGCAACTCGGCCAGTACAAGAAAAGAGAGAGTCAGCGTACCACCTTCATATACACCAGACTTAAGGTGAAGTACAACCAAAAATAAACACATTTTCTCTTAAATTAGTGGTATTCTATTATTCCGGACATGCCCCAGTGGAAGGAGGAATTCAGGGACTCAGAAGACACTGAGCCGGAAGACTGTCTCTCAGAGAACAGTGTCTCTGTGAATAATGCATCTCTTTGGAGTACTTGTTTCCCTAAGAATGCCACAGGGAAGAAGAGATGCTCTCCCATGGACAGTACACATTGAAGGGGTGGAACAAAAACACTAAAGGAATTATAAATGTCCTCAAACAACATCCAAAGGATCAGAACGGGGGAACAATCCTCGAAACAAATTAAGCTAGATGCTTTGTCAATGCAATATACTGTCTATATACTGTATATAATGTTTTGATTTGTCATTTTATTGTTCGACTTAACAATCTTGTATGAATGTAAGCTGGTCATCTTTATTTATATAGCGCTCACATAAACACAAAGCGTTTCAAAATTGTTGAAGGCATTTGTCCGCTCCTCACACAGAGTGGAACTGTGGCGACCCACCTTCCTGGATCTATTGTACATATTTTTTTAGTGGAAGGGAAAACCGGAGCACCCTGAGGAAACCCTGCACAAGTGTGCAGTGGTCAGTGTGGTTAGCGCTTGTGTGACATAGAAATGTGTAGTGATTGTGTCTCCTTTCAGGCCATGGTCCAGTCGTACATAGATGGAGTTGGCTGGGGTGTGGAGAAGCTTCATGGAGCCAGGGCTGCTCTCTCTGAGGGGACCCATCTTCTGAAGAAGGCTGAGCAAGACATCAGGTGGAACACACGCAGGGGAGAGTGTTTAGTGAAGCTCCAGGAGGTCTCTGTCAGACACACTCAGCTTGTAGCAGCTGTCCACAACCTGCCGCACCTCTACTCAGGTCCGTGTCACACAAACATTACAAGTGATCTATTAACTATCTAGTTCGTGATCATGCTGTCTATGTTTATGGTGTTTATGCATGCAGGAAAGACACTGAAGCTCTTTCCATTTTCAGCTCAAAATTATGATTTTTCAAATGAAAAGAATTTTGAAGACAACAGACGTTTGTTAAGGTGCCAAACTTAGTTTAGTCCTGTGGAGTTGGCAGGTCTGATAGTAGCACATGTTAAAGGTAAATAGGAGGATTTTCTACTTCCGGGTGGCTCATCAAGACTATTGGTCCTCCCAATTGTCAATCATTCTGATGATACGTGCTCATTAAATAAGATGAGAGTTTTGTTCAATAAAAGGCGAGTGGACGGTTATTTCCTAAAATTTGGGAAAAGCCTCCTATACCTTTAAGTCATAAATCTTCATTGGGTATTGACTCATATTTATTTGAATATAGACAAACAGTCTGCCAGCGGTCGGGTGGACAGTATGAGGTTAACAGCTGGGGGCCGCATAGACATTTGAATCCGACTGTATGTGGCCCCTGGGCCGCACTTTGCCCAGGTCTCTATTAGTGTATTTGTCTTTGCTCTGACAGTGCACAGCATGGTGCTGGATACAGAGCGCCTGGTGGAGTCTCGCAGGCTACTAGAGGCTCATGCCTGTTTGATGGAGCTGGAGCGCTGGACGGATGACATCCTTTGGCAGCTACAAGGAAAGGTCCCATGTGCGGAGGATCAGCAGCTAGTATCCGATTACTTCAGCGGAGTCAGGACACTTGTGGATGCTCTAGGTGGGTTCATCATGTGTCCACAAGTGTGTGAGAATCACTGCACTACACAGTGTATTTGGATGACTCGACTGTTTTAGTAAACTTTAAATAATAATAATAATGCATCAGTTTTATATAGCGCTTTTTTGTTTTTGAAATGGACGTGGGACAAAAGCTCCCACAAATACCTCGACTTGAATACATTTATGATCATTGGTCATCCGTCCCCTGTGGGTCAATGGCTCCTTCTGTGTTTGAACGGTTTAGTTCTCTGTTGGCAAAATGTCAACTTTGTCGATGTCCAAAATGTCCTTTAAGATGAATACTTTTATGATTTATTGCTGGACAAAAATAAGAGGAAAAAATAGGAGTTTAATATAATATTGAATTTATTGTAGTCTTTACTTTGTTAGAGGTGAGTGTCTATTCTGAAAACGGTTGGTTTAAAACTGTTGGGGCGACTAAAAACATTCAAATAGCAGAGTAAACTGTTCTGTTTTCTCCAGGGAGAGAGCTCTGGGCCGTGGTCAGCAGTGCTCTGACGTTAGCCGTGCAGAACCCTACACTGTTTGTGTCAGCAGTGCGAATCGTGGAGCGAGAGGAGGCCCTGGATCAGACCCTGAGGGAAAGGGCCAGAACAGGAGCCCGCCCACTGCCACCAGGCCGGCCACGCTGCTGGAGAGCCAACTTCTTCGAAGTATGTTCTTTGAAGTGTGTGCCTGTGTTTTCATTCATGTGTTGACAATAGCAGCTCTGCTGGTGGTTTACAAGTGACACACATTCAAAAGTACACAAAAATGATCCAACAGAGCATCATCAACTACATTTACATTTGAAATATTTGCAATTAGCAATTAGCCCTTAGCAATTAGCCAGTCTAGAGTGCGCCCTCTGCTGTGGGTGGGGCCATTCACTTGCTGAGTCAGACCAAAAGTTTCAAGTACAGAACTCAGCTCTTTTGCATTTCTGTCATTGACATTATCCACCTGTAGAGTAAAGTTACCTGCAATGACTAAACCATCAAAGAGTAGCTAGAGCTACTTGTCTTTACAGATCAATCTTGGCTTACAAATCTATTTTGCAAGCCTAATTTTATTCAACTGTGGATTCAATCCACAGTTGATTACCACAAAAATGTATTCATTGTGAAGGTGTTTGAAATACATATTTTTTCTCTGGTAGGTTCTGAAAGAAGCAGTTTCTGCCCGCTTCCGTAATGTTTCGTACCTGCACACCCGAGGTCCTGGTCTGGCTGGTCATCTGTCTGCTCTTCAACACAGCATCATGGCTGATGTGGCTACAGTGAGGCACCAGCTGGAACACTGTGTGCCTACCCACTATCGCTTAACAGCAGCCTACCTCAGGGCCAGCCATCAGTGCTTACAGGCCCATCTGAGACAGGTAACCCAGCCATCAGTGCTTACAGGCCCATCTGAGACAGGTAACCCAGCCATCAGTGCTTACAGGCCCATCTGAGACAGGTAACCCAGCCATGAATATGATTCAGAACATTTTGTGTTTGTAGGTCATTAGTTGGGACCTTGAAAGTGGGGAGCTGTTTTCTGTGCTGTATTGGGTGCTGCACACTTACCCCAGGTAAAGTATGAAAGATCCATAAACAAATGTAAAAGAGCAGGTGCTAAAACCACGCCTATTTTTGTGATTAAGTGCAGAAATGATGGGTCACCCTGAGCTGGCGTCTCTGATGGACCAGGACGAGTTGGGAGCACTCGTGTCCACAGAAGCACTGGAGGAACTGCAGAAGAAATATGTGAACAGCGTCCATGTACGTGATCTACAATTTTAATGATAATGAATGATAATGATACTTACCTTCCAGTTCATATGCTCGAGGCTTTTGTTTTGTCTTGTCAACACACACACACACACGCACACATAGCGTGGCAGGGTTTGTAGCGGTTTTAATCTATATCACACATAATGTAAGTTGTTTGTTTGCTTTGGAACACTACAAAGAATTATATAATATGAGGTAATAATGGCTTGTGTCGAGTGTTTTTTAAATCTTATTTTGAGTACATTATGACTTTCTTTAAGAACTGTTGCTTTATTTTCTCCTTCAAAGGGAGACATTTCTTGTATCTTTTTAACACAAGATTGGAATATTACAGTGAATAAATCACAATAATAAGTTAATAAGCTGTAGGTCCAATTCCCTTTTGTGAAATCTGAACACAGTAAATAGCTGACTTTGATGTTTCTGGAGGTAAATCAAATATAATATCACTTTTCTGACAGAAATGGTCTTGGAGATTTAATTCAATATACAGTACATGTACAATGTGCAAATTGCCAAGAATTATTCAAGAGTAAAGCCTGGTACGGCACAGGTCTGGTTCCTCTGATGAGGGAATTGGAGTTTTGTCCTGAGGCCAAATTGTGAGAATAAAAAAGCCAACATCTCTCTGCAGCTTCTTTTGCCTTTTTCTCCTCTCCCGGTTTGATGGATCCTTGGGGGAAAGTGTTTTAGGTCGAAACTTGTCACTGAGAAAGAGAGACTTTAGGGGAAGTTTAGGTAAGTTAACCCAGTAACTAAGTGTTTTTACAGGCACAGCACAGACAGGTTACAACATTAGCCTAGCCTATAGCCTTGCTATAAAAGTCCAAGTTTTCAGATTGAATTTATACTTCATGTCTTAAATATTGTCCCTTTTTTTCAAATCATTTGATAAGTCAGATCTCCATTCCATTTTCTGGGTGACTATTGTAAGAGAATTTGAACAAATAACACCAAGACATTTGGTACAGCCATGTCCGGTGTAACGGTGCAGACTGTTCTGTTGCAGACCAGCGTCTGTGAGTGGATGCACAAAGCTCTGCAGGTGGAGCTACAGGACTGGCACAGAGAGCAGGAGCCAGACACGGACCATGAGGGATTTTACCACACCAGTTTACCAACAATAATAATCCAGGTACGCACCTCAAATAAACAGCTTTGGTTGCTTGGTTTAATTGGTTTAGAAGTGAGTCCAAGAATCCTTACAGTGTTGCTATGATCTAGTCCATCATTATAGAGAATGATTAACAAGGGGTCACTAAAAACTAAAACATGTCCCAATATGATCTCCCTTTGACAAACAGTCAGTGTGGGACACACCTGTCAATATTCAGGAGACTCTCTGAAAGTGATGCGCAACCCAGATTAACACAACCCAGATTAAATGTGTATTTGGGGCGACAGTAGCTCAGTTGGAGCATTGGCCTTTAGGCCCAAAGGTAGTGGGTTCAAACCCATCATAAGACCTCCAACTGCTCCCACTAATGTCTATTGTCGTTGTGTCCCTGGGCAAGACACGTTGCCTCATTCGAATTTTAGACACCCCAACATTTTGCTTCTGAGGTTTTGTGAGGATCTGATAGAGCAAACCCACACCCGCCATATTATGCACTAGCAGTCGTGAGATAATGTTCTTCATTATAGTGTTGCAAGTGTTTGACACAAATGATGACATAGCTATTGTGTATTCTATTGCAACTGAAGCAAAATGCTTTATTCACATCTTATACAGATGCTGGAGGAAAACTCGAGAGTTGCTCTGATGATTGGGCCACGTTTACAAGAGCGGATCATTCAGATGGGTCTGCAGGAGATGGAGGTCCTTCTGAACAGGCGAGTGGCTCACAATCAGATCAACTACACTATTGGTGGCTGCTCTTTTCAAACACCTCTTTAACTGATAACAGTAGTTCAGCCGAATTTCAAAATTAGTTTTACAGCCTCTAAATCTTGTTATTGTTTTCATTTTCATGTCCCGCCCTCCATCGTTTCACCAGTCAGAAAGTCTGTGATCCAGATTGCCAGAACTCACAGCATCAAGCTAATCTCACTGGTAAAGTACCATGTGGCCGTAGGACTAAAAAGGTCTCGTTATGATTCTGAAATCATTAATTATTATAGATGTTATGTTATAGATTTATTGTTGACAAAACTCTTGTTGGGCAGTGGCTGAGTGGATAGCACTCTCGCCTCTTAGCAAGAAGGTCCTGGGTTCAAATCCCGGTTGGACCAGGGCCTTTCTGAGTGGAGTTTGCATGTTCTCCCCGTGTCTGCGTAGGTTTCCTCCGGGTGCTCCGGTTTCCCCTACCACTAAAATTATGTACAATAGTTCTGGCATGTGCCTCCTGTACTGGCGACCCCACTCCCAAAAAATAACAATTGTAAACCGCTTTGAGACACCGATGTGCAGTGAAAAGGCGGTATATAAATAAAGATTACTTACTTACTTACTCTTGTCTATTCAGATTTTATGGTCTCAGCTGGATTTGTCTGCATATCTGGCAACTTGAGTAGGAGAGGTTGCAGCACTACTTTTGGCCAGATTTTTACATACTCATCCCAAAGTTAAAAATAAAATAAAAATACATTTACATTTGCTTTCTTCAAGGAGTGAACAGTAAAAGGTTAATGTCTATATATGTCCATAAATGTCAACAATCATCAACGCTGTTCTTAGACGCTCCTGCATCAACAATGAACAACTTGAAAACCCAGTGGTAAAAAAGTAAGAAATCTCACAGAGGTCTACATGGAAAGAGGGATTAGCTCCCACGGACTGAAGGGCTATAGATCCAGGACTCAGGCTGTAGAACGAGGACCGAGGCCAGGCCATGTGGTGGAGTCTGGGCCACGGAAGACGGCCCACAGGTGCAGATGAAAGAGACCGTATTCAGAGGTCCCATCCTAACGTGAAACGGACAGCAATAGCAATGAACAGACTACAGCTGAAAGTGATTCTATGATCTATGTTGGCGATTTCAATGGTTTTGTCGTAATATAGAGCTATACAAGAATATCAATCAATCAATCAATCAATCTTTATTTATAGGGCGCTTTTCCTGCACAGGGCAACACAAAGCGCCTCACAGTCCACACCACACAATGCACAAATCATCACCATTAAAATACAATTAAAAACACATATGTAATTAAAAAGCATTAAAATCACATAAGTAATTTAAAAACATAAAAATCACACAAGTAATTAAAAACAATAAAATAGTTAAAAACACAAAAAGTTACAACAATAAATAACAAGGTGTGTTAAAAAGAATAAATTCTCTAGTTGTATGCACGGGAAAAAAGAAAAGTCTTTAACATGGATTTGAACATTGACAGAGAGGCAGCCAGTCTCACATCCTCAGGAAGACCGTTCCAGACTCCAGCTGCATAAATCTGAAAAGCAGCCTCCCCCTGTCTAGTCCTGACTCTGGGCACTAACAGGAGTCCCGTCCCTGCGCTCCTCAGAGTCCGGGCTGGTTCATATGGGACTAGCATATCATGGATGTACTTTGGTGCAAGGCCATGGAGAGACTTGTACACCAGGAGAGCTGCTTTAAAGTCTATCCTCTGGGCCACGGGAAGCCAGTGCAGAGACCTGAGGACCGGACTAATGTGGTCGTACTTCCTGGTTCTAGTCAGGACTCGGGCTGCAGCATTTTGAATATACTGCAACTGTCTTACTGCATGTTTGGAGATACCTGTGAGCAGGCCATTGCAGTAATCCAGCCTACTGGAAACAAAAGAATGGATAAGAATCTCCAAGTCTGCCCTGGACACAATATTTTTAATTTTGGCAATATTTTTCAGATGATAAAAAGCTGCTGATGTTACCGATCCAATGTGGCTATTGAAGTTTAAGTCAGAGTCCATTATTACTCCCAGATTTCTGACCTTATTTAAGGGCCTTAGGGAGAGAGACTGAAGGTGACAAATGACGGTCTCTCTTTGTTTCTCGGGACCAAAGACAATCATTTCGGTTTTGTCCGCATTTAGCTGGAGAAAATTGCATTGCATCCACTCACTGATCCGCTGGATACAGCGAAGGAGTGAGTCCACCGGCCCATGCTCTCCTGCAGTCAGTGAGACATAGATCTGAGTGTCATCAGCGTAATTGTGGTAGGACACTTTCATACTTTGAATTAACTGACCTAATGGCAGCATGTAAATATTGAACAGGAGAGGTCCCAGAATCGACCCCTGTGGCACTCCGCAGGTCAGGGCCATATTATCTGAGACATAGTTTCCAATCTCCACACAGTACTTCCTTTCTTCTAGATAGGACCTAAACCAGCTTAGGGCGGTACCAGCAACACCAACCCAGTCCTCCAGTCTCTGCATGAGAATCTCATGGTCAACGGTGTCGAAAGCGGCACTCAGATCTAACATGACTAAAACAGAGACTTTTCCTGCATCAGTGTTAAGCCGAATATCATTTGTTACCTTGACTAGAGCGGTCTCAGTACTGTGGTGTGGTCTAAAGCCAGACTGAAACATGTCAAATGAGTCATTAGATATTAAAAATTCAGTAAGTTGTTGGTAGGCAACTTTTTCAAGAATTTTTCCCATGAAAGGCAGATTTGAGATGGGACGGTAATTTTCAAGTACCGCAGCATCCAAACTGCTCTTTTTTAGGAGGGGCCTAATGACTGCCTTTTTCAGGGCCATTGGAAATGTTCCAGATAAAAAAGACATGTTTACTATTTGTGTCAATGAGGGTAATAGACTACACATAACAGACTTCAGAAATCTAGGAGGTAGTACATCCAGACTGCAGGTAGAGGAACTAAGACCTGTGATTATCTTTTTAACAGTTTCATCATTGACAGGTGCAAATTGAGCTAGCTCACAAAGCCTCACTGGATGTTGCATTGTTACTTGTGTTGTAGAGGTGGATGGCATTTCTGATACCCTGAACCTTGTCTCTGAAGAACTGTGCAAACTCATTACACCTGGATTTGGAGTAGTGTTCTAATGGGCAACTCAACAGGGGGGTTCGTTAATCTATTGATTGTTGAAAATAGAACACGCAGATTATTGCTGCAGCCTTCAATAGTTTCAGAAAAGTATAATTCTCTTGTTCTACGTAGTACTCTGTTAAACTCACACAACTTCTCTTTTAAGAGTCTATAATCACCCTGGAGGTTGGACTTTCTCCACTTTCTCTCTGCTCTCCGGCACTCTTGCTTCTGTGCCCTGACCGGGCCTGCTTTTATCCATGGGGCTTTTTGCTTATTTGTGACCATTTTTACCTTCACAGGGGCAATGGCGTCCAGAACATTCAACACACTAGAGGTGACAGAGTTAAGCAGTTCATGTACAGTAGAACATGATGTGTTCTCAAAATGGATCATTCCCATAAATAGTTCACCCGTGTTTTCATTTAAGTGTCTACTTCTAACAATTTCATATTTAGCGGGTGGTCTGGTAGCAAAACACATGTTAAAAAATACACAGAAATGATCCGACAGAGCAACATCAACTACATTAACTTTTGAAATATTCACCCCTTTCGTGATAAGCAGGTCCAAGGTGTGTCCTCTGCTATGGGTGGGGCCACTCACATGCTGAGTGAGGCCAAAGGATTCAAGTATGGAACTCAGCTCTTTTGCGTATCTGTCATTAACATTATCCACATGAATATTAAAATCGCCTATAATGACTAAACCATCAAAATCTGTGCACACAACTGAAAGCAACTCAGTGAAATGATCAGTGAAACTATGGCATGACTGTGGCGGCTTGTACACAACAATAATAAGAATGGAAGAAGATTTCTTTTGTTCTATTTTAAAAGAAACATACTCAAATGATGAAAATTTCCCAAGAGACACCCTATGGGAGACAATACGATCTTTAAAAACTGCTGCTATGCCCCCCCCCCTTTTATTTTCTCGTGTTTCATATTCAAATTTGAAATTTGGTGGTGAGAATACATTGAATTGAAATTGAATTGACGTAATGTCAGATACTTGTTAGTACTTCTCCCACAAAATCACCTCCATATGAAGCGTGACTGCAGTTTCAGCTGAACACAGACAACTCTTTGACTTTGCTGAACCATGGCTTCACGTCGTTCCATTGTTGCCCCAGATTTCGAGAGGCCTTAGTGGAAGCTGGAAAGAAACATCGAACAGGTCAAACCCAAGAGAAGTTCTTCCTGAATTACCTGCTGGCCTCCATCAGCAATTTCATCATCCTCAAGTAAGACCCTCCATGTCATTAGGAACCAATTCCAAATTATTATTAAGTTTTGTTCAAAAGAGCAAAGTTTAAAAGTTCAATATATGAGTGTGGATTATAACAGTGCAATATATGAGTGTGGATTATAACAGTGCAATATATGAGTGTGGATTATAACAGTGCAATATATGAGTGTGGATTATAACAGTGCAACATATGAATGTGGATTATAACGGTGCAATATATGAATGTGGATTATAACAGTGCAATATATGAATGTGGATTATAACAGTGCAATATATGAGTGTGGATTATAACAGTGCAATATATGACTGTGGATTATAACAGTGCAATATATGAGTGTGGATTATAACAGTGCAATATATGACT